AATTGTAAATTTTACACTACATTTTTGTCTAAACTGGTAAGAAATTAAGTGAATTGGTAGACATACGAGTCTACTTTTTTATATTATAAATGTAACTCACTGATCGACCACATTGACATGAACTACAGTTCAAGCTGTAAAGAGCTAGACTAAAAAAATTATATATGCAGTAACGCTAATCAGTCAGGACTTCGACTTGAACGAATACATTATTGTGTTATGAGAAATTGAACGAAAGAAGAACGTCCGCCATCTTCTTCTTCTTGTACCTACATTACCTACATACGTACATGGTGTATCAATTCATGCAAATTAACTTTAGTAAATATTTAAAACTGTAGATAATGACATTTGGATGGAAAAAGCATTGAATCTCGAAAATTTGAGATGTGCCATGCTATATAAGAAGTATAAGATATAAAAAAACAACAAAACTATTTAAACAACATTGTAGGAATGTTTAATTAAAATTTTATAAACATAAAAATTGGTGAAAACAGTAAACTGCTATTGAAAAGATAACCACTCGAAGGTTTCTCAATGATATAGTTACTTTTGATTTGTTAGTTTACAATAAACTTTATAGATGGCAGTTATTTGAATTTAATCTAGAAACTAAGCAACATATTAGCATGACTTTTACTTAAAAAAATTAAGTACTCAGGTTCTTTGCGATTCATTATAATAATATGTTATTGTATAAATAATCAACGCTGAACAAAAGCAATAACCTTGATGAAAATGTAATTCGTGCTGTTTGTTGACATTTTGGAATATTATCACAATCACACTATGGATTTACTTAATCAATACCATCAATTGATTGATGAATTGGTGAGTTACGAGAGCGACATTTCTCTGTGTGAGATTGGGTATCTGTAATAGTATACTATAGTATAGTGACTGTAAACCATATTATTGCGGCCCAAAACTTAGCCACCGAGTTCTAAGTCTATCGTGGTGAAAGGGCTTGCCAATCGGTGAAATGCACTCGACCGAGTGTTGCCCTGAGTGCACAAGACGTACAGTGCACGCGAATAGTAAACATCGTTGCAGACCTCTCTGCATTCAAATTGTTTATAGTTTATAGGTATATGCTGTAACTTTATGTAATCCTGCTTCTTGATTGCTCAAATTAGAACTTAGCATTAAAATTCCATAGGATTTCCGTAAATTAGCCATCCTACGGAAGTGCGCCAGATTCGTACCGTGCCGTCGATGACATAGTATAATATTAGATTAGTTCTGTACATCTTCACCAACATGAATAAGTTGGTACAGTACAACATTATATTTAGCCCCAAATCGTAAGCTTCAAAGCGTCGGTCAACGTATATGAACTGTGAACCAGTATCACTGTAGCCGCTACCAAAGCTAAGAAATGGACCAATTGGCAGCAAGCCAAAGAACACAGAATTTTCACACAGTAGTTAACGTTGCGATTGGAAAAGATCTGACATTTCAAAAAGTTATATTTATTTGAATCAGGAATTTGATAAATAGCGCCTACATAAAAATGTATATAATATATATAATATAAATGTATATAATATATAATGTATAATAAATACAGTTAAAAACGTGATTCTGAACCTAACCTAAAAAACAATCTTTCTGAAGGTGATTGCAGACACGCATTTAATGACATAACACAGATTGCGGTTGAATAAAAGGTATTTGTTACTCAAGGTCGAATAGTTACAGGCGAAATCTTGATGGCTGGACAGTCTTTTGTTTTTGTCTGTGGTCGCAGATCATTAAACATTGTGACACAACGGAGTACCAGATGCGGAAATGGGCGGCTCTATCGCTAAAGCTAGGCGCTATACGGTCCAGCGATTGCGGCAGCGGAATGAGGAGTGAAGACAGAATATGATTCATACATCGGTGCTGTGATTAATTGGGTGTCCAAATGGCATTTTTTTGCGACGACCGATTTTGTTTTGACAGTTCTACGGACAGTAAGTACCTATTGTTTTAATTATAAGCAATAATATATTGATTTACATCTAAAGTTGTAAGCTTGTCATATTAACGATGTTCATGAAGACAATTTATAGGACAGTCGTAATTTCAGTGCCAAAGAGAGTTAATATACTTTTAATAGGAGCATTAACGTAGGATTTCCAACTGCATACGTCTGAAAATTCATCTCATTAGTTTTTCTAGATTCGGAATCATTTATGAGATCTTTAATTGGCACACCGTTACTATCTAAGCCAATATGACGCCAATGCGCATTTTAATATGACTTTTTAGTACCTACAATTGTAGCGTTAGTCAAGCAACCACAAAAACTAACCTTAATTCAACGACATTATGTGAGGTCCCCAGTAATATTTAACACTTGGTAATTTCATAGATTACGACTCACGATTCATCTATCAAATCCCTTTCAACCGACTTTGTTAGTGCGTCTGCGGTTTTAACATTAAAATGTTGTCTGTGATCTCTGAATGATGATCATTTCGTAGGCTGACTTAGTACTTAGCGGCTCACCGCAAAGTAGTCACGTGAATTCTTCTTTTTCATGTCAGCACACTCACTTTTATCGACGCGGCACTAAAAATGTGAAATAATCTGGTCTAGTGGACGAACGATTTCGAACTTCCATTTCCTATTGCATTTTGTTCAGAAAGTCAAATTTTACTAATCAGTTAATCAACTTTACGACTATTACGGTCATATGTGATGTGAACATTTTTTGTAGAACGCCAGAGCTACAGTTGCTTGGTTCAAGTAGGTACACCTCCTTGAAGAAACCAATGACTTATGATTATCTGCCACTTCAATGAAACTTTTCGTCAAGCATTTTTTAAGAATTCGATACAGTCGTAAAATAATAGTGAATCTATAAAGACGGAATGTTCATATGGCCTTTAAACTTGAGTCGATTGCAAATCAAGGAAATGCATTGATTGAAAAATCAATCGGTTCGAAATAACGATTTTGGTGACCTTGACAGATGCTGTACAATTATGTCACGATTATGGAAACTATGAACTTGAATGATGAATGAAGGCAGTCACCATGGAAAGAGATCTCTAGCTCTGGTTTCAAAAACACGACGCTGTGGTTTGACAAATCGCTCATTCATCCACTGCACTAGAATACAAATAAAAATTGTATGGATTATTGCAATATTTATTTAATATATGGGTAATTTTTAGGTTAGTGTTCTCTATCTAATTATGGTGGCAATGTCTATTACTTGAATATTGTAGAACATTATCATGAAGTATTATTTATTATTCGAGTGTAGTAACCCGAAATATTATTTAATATTTCACGATAATTAACTCGAACACTTAAATAATAAAAATTGCCACCGAAATTAGATAGAAAAAAAACTAACCTAAAAGTTGCCATATCATGATGTTCTTACTGCCATGGTATTAGTATATTTTTTTGTTAAAATACTCCAGTAGTTGTTGTTATATTGATAAAAAGATAGAACAAACACAAATATAAATTTCTTCGATTCGGCTAGACACGAACCAGGGAATTTTTTAGCAATAGTCCATCTAGATCAAAGATATTTTATTTGTTTTTGTTCGATCTTTGTAAGGATCATTATCAATGAATTAATGTACCTACCGATTGTAACATAACATTAAAAACTACCTTTGGATAATGTTTTTCTACCTAATTTCATTAGCAGTTTCTATTATTTAAATACTCTACAATATTATCATGAAGTACTATTTCATATTCGATTGCAGTATCATGAAATATTATTTAATTTTTCACGATAATATAGTCGAATACTTACATAATAAAAATTGCCACCGAAATTAGATAGAGAAAATGATCCCTTTACCACTCCTCATCAGTTACAAAAGTAACCAAACCTATATTTCGTTCTAAGAAACATCCTCAGTGACAAACAATCAATAGTTTCCCAACAGTCAGGAGCGAACAAAGCCACCGCACCGGACACACGCGTATGTTGAAATGACGTCGCGCTATTTGGCGGCGCGCCCGTCTTTTTTAGTTTTTTTGTCAATTCATGCATTTCTCCTCCTCACTGGGTAACATATCGATGGCACATTTCGTTGTTGCGTCCAGCCTCCATGTATGGCCAGCGGACTGACCGGCCACAAAGATAGACTCACTAGACTGATAGAAAATTAAACACTGTACGTCACACTGCCGGAGATAAGACAAGAAAAACAGTTCTAAACTTCTTTAAAGTGATGCTTTACACAATGCCGGTTCAAAAACCGGTTGGGAGATATTACGTTTTGGAAGTAGCGGAAGCATTAACTAGTTTATTTAAAAACATATAATAATATCGAAAACTGGTATTATATTTCAAAAGTAGAGTAGGCATTTTAATTGAAATTAATTTTATAGATATTCGAAATTGGCGTTTTAGATTCTAGATACAGAATCGGTATGTTCGAAGA